CACTTTGCCTCCGTCTCTGCGTTGGGGTCCACTAGCAAACCGTAACACTAAAGTCTATTCACTAAATCAAAGCTGCGTTCTAGACACAACTCCTGCCTCATAGAGTGTCTTTGGCTTTCTGGTGTAGATCCAGCCTTAAATCTGTAGCCGTTTAAAGTGAGATTATAAATTTCTAGTCTTCCCTCATTTTCCTGCATTGCCAAACACAACGACAAACAATGTACCGCTTTCTTCTTATATCTTTCACAGGTCCCTTGCATATTTTAGTGTTATGCCAGTTTAGTTTAACTTGTATCACTTATGTCTGCATTATGAGAAACTCTGCTTTAAATGAACAGCCTTGTCCACTGTTGCATGCCAATCCATCATCCACCTCTCAGACCCCAGAGTCTAACAATCCTGCCAATTATTTAATTTGTCTTGTGAACACTTTGCAGGACATGCTCAATTTAGTTAAATTTATTATAGATTTAGGGCCTTCTCCACCCATTGGCATACATGTCACATCTACTCCCTCAAGTTCCAGCCATTAACACGGATCACTGCTTCAGCTCACCACCTGAGCTGCATCCTATCCTGTCTGACTTAGAAAAGACAATTGCTTCTAAGATTCATGTGTATTCTTGTTGTGCGTACATGGACGGAAAATAACCACACGGAGGGTTTCAGTTGAGTATTGCATTGCAAAGAGGCTTGTATGTAAAGATTGTGTGACGAAACATTAGATAATTGTACAGCATGTGAAACAGCTAAGGTGATAGGGTAGTAGGTGAGAAACAGCACACTGCTTTCTTCAGTACAATTACAACTTTGAGATGATAGGAAAGTTTGATCTGGATTTGGATTGATTTGTTCTCTGTCTCCCAGGAGTTTCGCACAGGCAATGGAATCCCACATGGGCCATGCGTTTGTGGATATCTTATTAGTTCTGGGGTACCAAAATGTAATTGAAAGAGTTGAAAGAGTAAAAGGGAGGTGGATATGGAGCAAATTTGTAGTTTTACTTGCTTATTGTTTAAGTTGGTATATGATAACGTATTTGTTTGTAAAATGTGTGTTGTTTGAGTAATGAGTTCTATTTAAGGCTTTAATGAACATTTTAATTTTTTGGGGGTATATAGCTCTCTCTTTAACACTTTTCTACATGTAGGCACAAATAAGTATGTTGTTGGTGTGGAGTAGGTTTACATATACAGTGGGTACGGATAGTATTCAGACCCCTTTACATTTTTCAACCTGTTTCATTGCAGCTATTTTCTATAATAAAAAAAGTTAATTTTATTTTTCATTAATGTGCTCTCAGGATCCCATCTTGACAGAAAAAAAACTGAACTGTAGAAATGTTTGCAAATTTATTAAAAAAGAAAAACTGAAATATCAAAAGGTCATAAGTATTCAGACCCTTTGAGAAGAAGCACCCTTTTTAGGTAGTACGGCCATGAGTCTTCATGGGAATGATGCAACAAGTCTTTCACACCTGGATTTGGGGATCCACTGCCATTCTTCCTTGCAGATCTTTTCCAGTTCTGTCAGGTTTAATGATGAGTGTTGGTGGATAGCCATTTTCAGGTCTCTCCAGAGATGCTCGATTGGTTTTAGGTCAGTGCTCTGGCTGGGCCAGTCAAGAATCAGTCAATCGGTCTGTTTCACCCTCTCAAGCGACACCTGGCACTGCTCTGACCACTGGACTGGTTCTGAGGCACCGTTTCGGGTGAGGTCGGTCAAGGGCTGGTCAGCGTCGCGAAGTTGGAAATAAATCGCCGGTAATGGCCAGCCAGCCCCCAAAAAACGCCACACATCTTTCTCGGTCTTGGGTCTTGGGCCGGCCGCAATCACCGCTGTCTTGTCCAACTGTGGACGCACCTACCCACCACCCAAGTCGTACCAACTGCACACTTCTTTGGGTTGGCCGTGAGCCCTGCCTGCCTCAGAGACTCAAGCACCGTGGCCACCTGCCGGAAGTGTGACAAATTGGTACAATTCATGCGGTGTGGAGAAGGCCGTTTTGTCCTTGGTCTGTGGCAATAAGGGAATTTGCCAGTAGCCTTGGTTAAATCCAACTGGCTTGGTTAGGTCCAGGAGTTTGCCGTCCTGGGACATAGGGTAGGTGTCAAACTGTGACACATCATTCACCTTGCGGTAGTCTACACAGAACTGGATAGACCTATCTTTCTTGCCTACAAGAACTATGGGTATACACCAGGTACTGTTAAACACTTCTGTAACCAACAATTCCAACATAGCTTCCAATTCAGTCTGAAACACTTTCCTCTTGTGCTCAGGCAAGCGATAGAGCCGTGAAGGCACCGTCACGCTCGGGTGAATCTCAACATGATGCTCAACATGCTAATCACTCGCCCCTTGTTAAGCAAAAAGAACCAAGGATCAATGCGGAGAAACAGCGGCCGGCCATACCTATAGACCAAACGACCAGGGACCCGGAAGTGACGCACCCATGACACGGATGCAAAGGACGCACCAAGATCAGGTATATTTCATACTCTCACTGTTAAAGGGTTCTGCCCTAGAGGATGTAAACCTCTACATGAGGGGCCGGAGAGACAACCCAGTTCCAGGTAAAAAAATTAACTTTGCTGAGAGGGAAAGTGTTTTGGTTTCTTATTGTTTTTATTGGAAACTTTTGCCTGAAAAAAACAAATTCTGACTCCAGTAACTTAGAAATAACAACTGGGAACACACTAACAACTCAGGTAAGTGAACTCCAACATACGGTAATAATACGCACCACAATCAATCATACCTTAAAACGATGGTCACTGTAATTTATGGTAACTGTAAATAAACCTTACCTACAAGACATTCTATCATTCCTCAAGTACTTAAACCTCCTTCATTAATATAAAGAAGATACAGAGTCTTTAGACTCCTCTTTATCTATTAATAAGCTAGATAATGCCCAAAATGAGATGGCCAATGGCAAGGCACCAGGTACCGATTGACTCCCTCCTGAAATTCTAAAAACATTTTTTTTAACACTGGCATTTCTACAACTATTTTTAAAACAGATAAAGACACTACTCTGCCATTTAGTTATTGACCCTCTTCATTGATACTGACACAAAAATGATTATTAAAACACAGTTTTTGTTGAGGAAAAGTTATCCTTCAGTAATTTATTTTGCACAAATGGGATTTATTTAAGGTCAACACTCAGCTGACAATGCTAGAGGGCTACTTAACCTCATGAATTTATCACAACACTGAAAAACAGAAGCAATAATAACATCACTAGATGAAAAAAAGCCTTTGACAAAGTTAAGTGGTCCTTCCATTTAGCTGTTATTTACAAATTTGGTTTGTGAATTTGAGATAAATTTGCATTATGGTTAATCTCACCTCCCCAACATTTTTGTAGTCTGTCAAATGTTTTCCATTCTTTCCTCAACTCCACCCTCAATGACTTCAGTTTAGACAACCTTCCCACTGGACAAACTAATCCCAAACTCATGGCCTAAGTTATCACTAAAAAATCCCTTTTCAACAGAAAAAATAAACAATTTCCTTACATAAATGGGTAAGGAAAATGAATCCCTTGACAATGTATAATTTAAATGATGACAGTTGCCGTTCTCCATTTAAGTTAAATTGTGAACATTTATTTTACATTGTAGAAGTGTAGTGCAGAAGGGGAAAATATATTATGTGATTCAAAAGGAGTTCTTTACAGTCTGAGCAGAGATCTTTTTAACCACTTAAATAAAAGAATAGATGATGAATAAATTATCATTGGGGAATTTTCAAATGTGTTGAATTGGTTTGTTCAAGCTGATGAAAGGGCCTAGCATGAAATAATGTACACTCTGCCTTAGGTTGATTATGCATACAGTTCTTTTTTACCCACATCAAACCCCTTTTTCAGCATTTACTTATTGGAATGAAGTTTGGGAATTTTGTTTGAAAGCATACATTTTATTCCAGCCATAATGTCACAGAGACAAAATGTTAACATTAATTATCGTGTTATTATCTTGGTGTTCATAAAATTCAAAATTGCTAAAAGATAGTGAACCTTAATTGCTCAAAGCATGTATCTCAGTAATGTTTGCAGATGTTGTATGGGATCATTTGGTATGAGCAGCTTGTTTATTAAACTTTAATAGCATACTCTTTTGTATTTTTGCAGGTAGCTGTAATTCATGCCAGGAATATATTTAAGCTCTTAGGGTAGAACAAATGTTTTCTCTTGTTACTCCATCAGATAAAATATGAGATGTATGCAATGTGCTGCAATCCATTGCCGCTTGACACATCAGGACCCTACTCATGGGGAAAATTTGATGTGACCAGAGCCTATGTAACCCAGTAATCAGGGCAGAAAATCAATTACCAAAGTTATGAAATGGGTAGAATGTCACGCTACTCATTGCTCCATCACAAGCGTTGATGCACTTATTTCCCATATTTTGATATTCACTATTTATTTCCCCTCCCTGGCCTGCCACTTTACCGTGGTGGAGGGGTTTGATGGGTCTCAGTACAGCCCAAAGATCCCTTATGAGGAGTTCGGAGTTCAATAAATGGACCAAGTGCTCCCTTGCCAGGACATCGGTCACTGGGGCCCCACTCGGGAGCCATTCCTGGAGGTGGGGCATGCTGGTGAGTGCCTGGTGGCCAGGCTTTCACCCCTTCTGTTTGGCACACCACCCATGAAAGGCCAAAGGGGGTTGGGTCAAGTGTGATAATGGTGGAAGCCTAAATCTTGGGACGTGGGGAAGGACCCTGAGTTGGTGTGTGAGGCAGAGAGAGTCTGGCTCTCTGACTCGCATTGATGCACAGCTGTGGCTCTGGAACCAGTCCTTTCGAGAGGGGTTGGATGCTATTTTACTCTGGAGTCGAGCAGGAGTGGGCATATCGTTGCCTCCCACCTTGAATGAGAGGGTAACTTCGTTTCACCTTCTGGTTGGGGGAAGGGTGCTGACTGTTGTTGTGCTTATGTATCTAAAATCCGTCCGAAACCCCAGCAGTGTTTTGTAACTGGACTTCTGTGCTCGGCATGGATTGTCCATAACAAACACCATGTTCAGACATAAGGGTGTCTATATGTACTCTTGGCACCAGGACACCCTAGGCTACAGCTCAATGATCAACTTTGCTGTCGTGTCATCTGATCCGCGGCCGTGTGTCTTGGACACTCGGGTGAAGTGGACATGGCAGGCCGGAGCTTTCCACTGACCACTATCTGGCTGTGAGTTGATTCCGAGTTGTGGTGGGATGAAGGCCGATGAGGCTTGGTAGGCCAAAATGTATTGTGAGGGTCTGCTTGGAGCACTTTGCAGAGTTCCCTGTGAGAGCTTTAACTCCCACCTCCAGGAGAGCTTTGATCACGAGGTGTGGGATTTTGATTCTGAGTCGGCCATGTTCCGCGCGTCCATTGCTGAAGTAGGGTTGTCGGTGCCTGTCGTGGCAGTAACCCTTGAACCCACAGTTGGACATTGGCAGTGAGGGATACCGTCAAGCTGAAGAAGAAAGAGTCCTATCAGGGCTTTTTGGCCTGTGGGACTTTGGAGATGGCATATAGGTATCAGGAGTCCCAGTGGCATGCGGTGGTTACCAAGGCAATGTTGGAGGAGTTTGGAGAATCCATGGAAAACAACTTCCGTATGGCTTCGAGGGGATTCTGGTCCATCTCAGGGGGGAGAGTGGTACTCCAATAACGCTGTTTACAGTGGGGAAGGTGTGCCACTGACCTCAACTTGTAACATTGTGGGATGGTGAGCAGAGTACATAGAAAATCTCCTCAATCCCACCACCTTGTGTTTTACTGGAGATGCACAGCCTGGAGACCTGGGGTCGGCTCTCCTTTTTCTGGTACTGAGGTCACCAAAGTGGTTAGAAAGCTCCTTGGTGTCAGAGCTCCAAGGGTTGATGTGATTTGGCCGGACTTCCTCAAGGCTCTGGATGTTGCAGGGTTGTGAGGCTGCATGTTTCTGAGAATGTCTCAAGGTAGAGACATCCACAGAAACAGGGGAAAGCACACAGAAATACAGAAACTTTATTTCTCCTTCATCCAGTTCCTTCAGAAACATCTGTACAGTGTCCTTTAAAAAATACCCTACCATATAATAGAGGTAGATATATTTCCGATGTGATAAGAGCTAGAGATATGAACACTGATCTCAATACCTGACGCGTTTCTACAAAGAATGTACATGAATTTAACTACACGTATACTTTTGTGCTTAACAGTGTAGTACAAAGAAATATTTTGCTCCCATTTATTTATTTTACATACACGCCTGATTAATGAAGCTCCTTTGGTTTCCACTACATGTTGTTACTGACCACTAGATGACACTGTGGCACCATAGCGCATTGGAAAATTAGTGACAAAATATTTTTCAGTTGAATGTTTATGTTAAATTTTCCAGTTTAGCTTTGAAAATAATACAACCAATAAAGCTGAAAGCTGAATACAGTTTTTGCACTGAGGCTGAAAATGTGTCTAAAAACAACAGTTCTCTTTTTAAGGGTCATGATTGGAATGAGGAAAGTTTGAGACTCCTTTTGTGTGTTACCGTTTTCCTGGACACGCACATCTGGACCATAGAATTCACATTCCTCCCAGGAATAATAGGAACTTTAAAAAGAGTAAAAATAGTAAAATCAAGGGTAATCCAAGTCAGCATGCTACATAGTGATCATCTGGTACAGAGATTCCCGACTTCTGGGCCACTGTCCACAACCCACTTTTGGGTCATAGACAGCTTTAAAAAAACTGCATGGATTTGATATCTCTCTTTTTTTTTGGAAAAGAAAGAAATAAAAAAAGAACCACACCTCAGACACATGCAGCAGTCATTTTGCAATGGTTACTACTATTTGTTTGCTGGTTACCCTTTTCTAAAAATGTATGATGTTCGGAGGCAAGAATTGTAAAACTAAAATATAACCCACAACATTTGAGTGGATTTTTATGAACTAAGGACAAACACGGACTGATACCTCAGTTGGTATTTGCAGTGAAGTGCTGGCCCATGAAACCATCTGAACTAATGCAACACTTCTGCAAAAGTCCAGATGGGGGGATGGTACCATCTCTTATTTCATGCACAGGTATGGCAGGCTGTGACACATACCCAGGCATCTCCCTTCAAGCTTCGAACTATGGATCCACTGAAAGACTGCTGACCAGGCTGTTGCTGGGAACTATTTGCAATTGACAAGTCCACCACCAGGATCAGGGTTGGCACACAACCCCCGGAAAATCTGACTCTTTACTAGTCAATAGAGTTGAATAATTGGATGG